TGGAGTATTGTTGAAGTCGAGCTCGTGAGAGTGAGTTATAGCGTTTGTTACAGAGCGACTGTTGAAATTAAGTGTATCGTAAAGTTGTATTCGGAAAGAATAAACCAGTTTTATTTAAGAAAGGACTTGTGTCGCTAAAGTTTCGTCGGAACGAATTTATGGAAAATTAACTAACGAACAGAGACGTAACACAACGAACACAGAGGCGTAACAAAGGGATTACACGTGACTAGCGACTCTATGTATAATTTTACTTTCTCAGTTCAAACAGAATATCAACAAGATAACAGAATAGATCAGAGTTTAGTTTTAACCAGCAAGTTATTTTCTGTTTATAGATACTATGTTAAAGTAGTAACGGAATGAAACTTCGAACGTGGAGACTAAATGTGGTTTTGGTGTCTGGAGCATAAAAAACAGCTTAGATCTAGCTGGATTATGCCTTACCTCGTTCGTTAAACACATTTTATCAAGCTACGAGCTACAGTGATGCGCGTAACATTATTGGATACGTCAACGATCTGAAGACATATGTCACTAACAAACAAATTATGCCTTAGATCAAGAATCAGAAGTTGAGTCTGATCAATCAGAATATAGACTGAGCTGGTGACGAAGAAGATGCTAAAGGTATTTACCTGGTCGTTATAGAGGAGTCAAAGGGAAAAATGTCAATAGAGGAACTGTGCAATAGCTTCAATTGTCGGCAGAGATGCCGATCTTCTGATCAATTAGCTTGGGTTAAGAAGAGGTATGCGCAGAACACCAACACGACAATTTAGAAAACATTTCATGAATATATCTGAATAAAGTTATATTCTTTACTGTTTCTAGAGGGGTTAGATATAATCACACCATCAAACATTTTTAAAACCTATAAGAGTCACACCACCACCATTCATACAACGGACGTGAGAAAATAATTAAATGCATAGATAAGATTTTGCTATTTATACAATTTATTTTGTAATTACTAAGTCGCAGGTGGCGCTTGCATCTGTATCAGAGCATGGTAGATGCAATGTATAAGATTCTAATAGGATAATGTGTTTTTTATTTTTTAGTGTTTGAAAATTAAAGTTCAATGAGTATAGTTTTTTTTCTTATGCCGTTTGCATTTTATCTTCATTCGGCATGATCTTTCGTGCGAATCAATGCAAATAGTTAACGGCTAGAGATTAGTCGAGAATATTTATGATTTACAAACAATTAATTACCTTAAGTCGTTTACTGATGATTTAGTCAGTAACCAAGTGACTAAGCCTAAAATTTTGTCTATCGTAAGTAACATCAGCAACATTGAGTAACGGTTTCATACTGTTATTGTTTTTAAGTTTAATAATAGTACTAGTTATTGAAGGAGTAAAACACTAATCCGTGAAAATACTACTGATAGTAATAGCTCATTATTGAAGACTTGTAGTTATACGAATTGTAACTAAATATTAGACTAGGTGATTTTTTTTTACATTTGACAATTTTATTAAGAAATTTCACTTGATAAATCAAGCATTTCTTAAAGCGAAACTTTTTTAAAATTTATTCATTTGTTCACATTTCAGATAATTTTAATTTTCAAAGCAAAATCACAGTTAAAACAAGTAAATGCGATAATTTATATTGATTCAGTGTTGGATGAATGTTAACTTGCTCCTCATCATGGCCTCAGAAATTTAAACTATAGTCTAGATTAATAAAAAAAAAAAGTGGCAGTTTGCTACTTAGAATAAGTTATTGACAATCCTCCTTTGTTAGTTGTACTTGATAAAGATGGGGCAATATTTCTAAAGTGTTCAAGCCTTTTTAAAAATTTTGGGTACTTATTTTTCCAGTCATAGGTTATGTTCATGCATTTGGTATTGCTGTGTCTCATAATTTGATATGATAATTTTCAATAATGAGTAGTATGCATTCTTCATCAGCTGTTAATAATGTATTATACAGCTAACTAAATAACATTTTCAGGTTTATGAACATAGTAGTGGGTTTGTTTTAGACATATTTTCTAAACAAGCTTTAACTATGTACATATACATGTTTGAGTTTAAATTTTAAGGTGTGAAATGTTTTATACAACAGTTGAAAATTACTTGAAATTTGCTGTGTTGAAAGACACTGAAAATTCATTTTAAGTTTGTTATAAGGTTAACCAGTTATTTATTAAATCAATTTTCAGATTGTTTAGTGTAAGTTAATAACTAACATACTGAATCTTTAGTTTTTTTCCAGTCTTTTAGCAGAACTGCACAATATTTGGTTCAAGTTTAAGTACAGTTTTTAAGCAGTACTAATCAAGATGGTAAAGGAACAATTTCGTGAAACAGACGTGGCCATGAAAATGTAAGTCAAGATATTAAGAAGCTTTGCAATTAATTCTTATAGATTTACATAAATTCTATATAAAATTCTAGAATAGCTAGAATGTTTTCATATTTATAAGTAAAAAGAGAAAAAAATGAATATTGTCTCAGAACTGTAATAAAATAAGCAGTTTTTCTAATATAGTTTACCAGCAAACTTATCAAACATTTTAACCATACTATTGTATTTTACAAAATTATATTCTGTCTATTTACATATTCAATGATACTATTAAAAATTCCACATTACTAGCACTTACCACATAGACTATTATAGAAAAACTATATAGTATTAGTAAGCATGAAATGTATCTAACTTCAAGTATATCTAATTTTTGTTGTGGCTCATCTGTTTGAAAGCTGTGTGAGGAGGGTACTTAACTGCTACTTTTTTATCAGAGTGTATTTGAATAGATATCTGATATGTATTTGCTCTCTTGACACATTATCTTCAAATGCAAAATTTAGATACTTAAAACTAAGTTTACTATTTAATTGTACTTAAAAAAAAATTGAAGAGCAATTCCTACCTTATAAAGGCACTACCAACTAGGTATGAGCTTAAGTCATTCTAGTATTTTTGGTGTCTTAATATTTTTCATTATATAGATTAACAAAAATTAATTTCCACAGAAGCCACCTTTGTTTTGGAATTGAAAATGCCAATGAAATTAGACAACAAGCCCATATGCAGTGTGTCAGCAAGAATTTATACTTGCAGGATAATAGTCGTAAACCTGTCCAGCATGGTGTACTGGACAATAGATTGGTTTGTATTGAAACATTTATTATGTATTTTACCTGAAGTGTAGTTGTCACAAACCTGTGCTGTACACAGTTTACTAGTATTTTATGGAGATTGCTTAATTAGAATTTTCTGCTAAGTGGCTTTTTCTTGGCAAAAAAGATTAAAGATTAAATCTAAACTGCAGGTAAAAACTAAAAAAAAGATGAAGTTTTAGCTTTGCATTTAAACATATAAAAACTGCCATACAACTATAGTGAAAGTGCAAAGAAAAATAGTAACACCTGGATTTAGACCTTTTTTTTTTTCCTGTCATGTCTAAGCCACTCAAGACATAGAAAATTTATTTGAACAAATTTCTCTCTTGAAGTTATTAACCTTTCTGTACATGAGTTTTAAGTTTAAACTTTCCCTCATTTGATAATCTTGCAACTCCTATACTCCTTTATTAGTTAGGTTTTGAATATGAGTCAATGAGAGAGAAGTTTAGGTTTTAATTAAAAATTAATGTTGTCCATGAAATCATTGTGATCTACAGTATGGATCTAGATATGATAGGTAATGGTTAGATGTTTAGATTTGGAGAATTCTTAATACCTAACAAGCAAAATTAGTCTTTTTTTTTCCAGATAAATATACTCATAACGTATACATAATTCTGTCTTGCAGGGTACCAGTCAGAAAGATTACAAATGTGAAACCTGTGGAAAGAATTTGGCTGACTGCACTGGTCATTTTGGGTTTATTGACCTGGAATTACCAGTCTTTCACATAGGTTACTTTCGTGCAACTATTAGTATACTACAGTGTATTTGTAAGGTAAAATTATTTACATAAATATAACAGTAGAGCTTGAAATGAAACTGACAGGATTATCAGTATAATTATAACAAATAATTCTTCCTTATATGTGATTCATATAACATTTATTTAAAATATTAAAAGGATTTTCTAAAATAGCACTTGATCACAGAAAGAGCTTGTTTTTCAAGTTTATTTTCTAAAAACATAATTTGAAATTGTTTCAAAATACTAAACACTAAGTATAAGGTAACTTTCATTATAAAGTCTATTAAGTTTAGGTTAGTTCTACATGGTAGAGTGTGTAGGCTTCACGTTGTTCAAATGTAGTTGTGTTTTTTATAATGTACAAAGTGCAGTTATTTTGTACTCTTAACGTACATAGTTTGCTCTGATCAAAAGTTGATATTAATTGATATGTGGGATCCCTTTATATTGAGTACAAGTGACAGTGGAATCAGTATGTTCAAATGTACTTGTGTTAATGTGTATGTTACAGTGTGTTAATGCACAGGTTCTAACTGTGTTAACTGTTAAGGTATTGTTGTTTTACTATGCAAAGTAAGGTAGTGTTGGTGTACAGTTTACAATTTTGATGAAGTACAGGGTGCAGTTTTTCATGTATATATAGGTTATTTCATAATAAATATTATTTGTGTAAGGCTTGTAATTATGCCAAAAAAGGGAATTAAGAAATTAAATATTTAAACTTCAGACATGCAGTAGAGTTTTACTGTCACCGCAACAAAGAGAGGGTTTTTTTGATACCTTGAGACGGCCCAACATCAGCTATCTTCAACGAAAAGTTCTGCATAAAAAAATCATTGAAAGATGCAAAAAAAACTCCACCTGTTTCTACTGTGGTGCATTAAATGGTAAGTATTAGTATGGATGTATTAAACAGTCTTAAAATGTTTTAAAAACTTGTTGCTCAGTTTCCTGCTATTGATGATACTTGGTGAGCTTAGTAAACAATAATTAAATGTGGCTATTCTCTGTGCTCATGTTCATCCTGTGTTAAGATTATTTGGATGATTTATGTGCTAATTAGCTTTTATTGGTCTCATATGATAAGGGTAGCCATGAACTTAGAAAGGTCAGAAAATTAACAAAAAACATACCATAATCTGAAAAAGTTAGGGAAGATTGTAGAACTCCTTTTTTTTCTTCTCTCTTTTAACTCTCAGAGATTACCTGTACACACACACACAACATATTGTTTAACTGTGCCAGTTATTGATGTATTTTAGCATAACATTTTTAAGTCAGTCTGTTTTATCTGGAATATTTTTCTAATTCATTATATTTGATGGTAGTTCAGTTCAAATCTTTTTTTTTATGAACAAAATGCAACGTTGTCTATCATCAAGTTGAAATGTAGGTATTTTTCTGAAGTGTTATATTCTCAACTAAATATATCCTGGAGTTTTCATTACCCTTTCAAACTAGATCAAAAGCTAAAGTGGTGTTAGTTAGTTTGAATTATTAAGAAAAATTACAGTATTAATGTTTTGTGTATGCATGTATTTAGGTCTGGAATATTTATAATTTTTCATAGAAATTTAAGTAAAAACAAACATGTATATTAAAATGTACATTAATTAATGTATTTATCAGAAAGCTAAAAGTGATATGTATAAGTTTGAAAATTTGAAAAAACAAATTTTAATTATTTACAGCTAGCATTGTTTTACTAGAGTTAAAGCATAGTGAAAATGTTCTTAACATATTCAAAGTTATTAAATTAAAGATGTTCACGAGCTGCCAGTGCATAAACAATGATGTTTTATATGACATAAAGTCCCTTTTGTAAGAGATATTAAATATCAACTGTGCAAACATGTGGAAAGTTTCCTGAATAAAATTATTACTTAGAAATTTTTGAATATTTGAATTCCTGAATGCAATAATATCAAATTAATAGCTTTAAATTATGATTTATTTTCAGAATGAGAAAATACTAGGTTAATAATCATTAAAAATTGAGTACTTTAAAAAAACAAATGTAATTATTAGCTATATCTCAAAGTATGATATTAAAAACTGATATAGGTGTTGTGAAGAAATGTGGCCTGTTGAAAATTGTTCATGAGAAATTCAGACATGTAAGAAAGAATGATACGACTGTATCTGAGTTTTTGGCTGAATTTGAAAATGCAGTGAAATACAATAAAGAACTTGACACTCATCTCAACAAAGCAGCTCAGGTATGTTTTATTTTTGTAAATGTTCTATGAATGAACTTTTGAAATGTATATTAACATGTATGAAATGTAATGCCTATTTGGACTGTAAAACAAAAAATGTTAGATATCTATATCCATTTGTTTGAGCCCGTCATGGCCTGGTTGTTAGGTTGCTTCACACGTAATTCGAGGGTTGCGGGTTCAAATCCCCATCCCATCAAACATGCTCGCCTTTTCAGTCGTAGGGGCATTATAATGTGACAGTCAATCCCACTATTTGTAACTCAAGAGTTGGCAATGTGTGGTGATGACTAGCTGCCTTCACTATAGTCTTTCACTGCTAAATTAGGGATGGCTAACATGGATAGCTCTCATGTAAGTTTGCACGAAATTCAAAACAAATCAAACCATTTGTTTTGTAAAGTAGTAATTAGTATTTAAATGAGTGTTAACTAGCAGAAATGCTGCCCTCAGGGTGAGTATTTGTGCTAGTATTTACTAATCGTACTATTCATACTTCATTGAAAAAAAATTTAGAAAAATTGAACATTTTCTAAAAAAAATGATTTTTTTTCTGGAAAGTACTGGATGGGAAAAGTGTTTGGATTGTGCCCGTTAGTCGTATGCAACTCATTGCATCAAAATGATTCATTGTACAGAGTTCAAAAGTTGCATACATTTTTACTGATGTAAACTGTAATGTTTTATATATTAAAAGTGGTACCATTTATTAAAAAATAATAGTTTTTTTAAGAACTACAGTTTCTTTATACTACATTTTAAAAATTACATCAATAAAGATATAATCAAACCCACACGTACAGACCTAGTGAAAGTCATGTTCTCGTTTTGAGGAGAGTACTTTTACTTAAAATTGTATTCTGTTATAAAGAATGGTTGTTGCACAAACCATAGTTATTTTTCAAACTGTCTGAATCTTGAATACCCAAAGTGTGAAATTGTTTATGGTGCTATTCAATAGATGGCACAGGAGTTTTGTTTACATACATAGATACTGACATACATGCTTCGTCCCTCAGTGTAAATGTAGTGATTATTATATGGTTTTCTGTATTCATCTCTACCTTGTTTCTGTACTTTTTGTCATAGCCATCTATATATCATACTTAATTTTTGTAATTTATTTACTACTTGTTTTTTCCCCCCTCTTTTTTTTAATACAATTTCATTGTGAACAGTTTTTTTTATTTTAATAAATCAATGGTAATATATATTTTTAATATCATATCAGTTTTGTCAGTGTCTTCATTGCACTTGTAGAATGACCTCAGATATGGATATTATACCCTACAATTGGCTACATCATTTTACATGTACAAAATGATTTTATAACTTGTTTTGTGATATTTTGTCCTCTGACTGAAAGTTAGTGTATTCTATGAATATGTATAATACAATTTATTATTATATGTATTGATATATATTTTTTTAATCCTACACTTCATACATAATATAGGGGTTGGTTCCTAATGACACCAATTGTATAGTGTACAAAGCATTGAGTATTTACATGTTACAGTCATCTAATGTTCATCTATTATTGGCTGTTAATTCCTATTTCAACATGTACTTAATCTTTTTAAAGGAACACCAAATTTCTTTAAGAAAGCTAACTTCAAGAGGTAATGATAACATCGTTTACACTAGAATTATGATTTTTTTTAGCACTACCTTTTATATTCCCAGTAACACATTTATGATACTTTGCTTGCTCCATATTTTAAATATTGTCTTGCATTTTACTACTTAACAAGTTTGTCATTAATTTTGTACTATTTCTCTTTTATGTTTGGGTTATATTGCGTAAACAATAATATTATTTGTTAAGTAATAATTTTAAGTTTTTCGATTTTCTTTGTGCTCCATAACATACACACATTGATGTGTTTTTTTTACTCGTACATCTTCACAGAACAAGAAGCTTCATTTTTTTTGGCAGTTAATATAAAACTTACCCACAAAAGTTCCAGCCACACAGGCAAAATGAAAAACTAAGGAGTTGAATGACCTTAGTGGATATAACTAGCCACCTAACATGAATTTCCAGAAAGAGTTCTATTTTTGAGTTTACATTTAATCTTGTATATCAAATTTGTGTTTGTGATGAAAAGTACATTTTCTGATATGAAGTGAAAAAACAGATTTAGTATATAAAGCTGAAATGCTGCTTACACTTGCTGTGTTCTCTATTTTAAACTGAAGTAATCCCATTGAGAAATGTGAAAGGAGCTACTAGTAAAGACTTGTCAATCTATTGTCATAGAGTAATTTTTCTCATAAATTTTTTGCTTGCAGACATTTTTTTAAAATAATTGTAACTGTTGTTTACAGCTTGTCTAGACAGTCATGCTTGGATTATTTACTGGATAAAATATAACAGTGCCCTTTGAGTCAATCTAAGTTGCAAGCCCAATCTCCAAGATTAAATTTTTAAAAGTGTAAACAACCCCTACAAATTTTGCTGTGAAAATTTGAGTAGGTTCTTTCTTTCCAGGTCATGTGTATGAATGTAACTTATATATATCACTTAATCAAGTGATAACTTTTATGATCATGGCAGGGTTCTCAGTTATCATATGAAAAATCTGTTCCAAACTAGAGGGTGGTGGTTTAATCGATTACCTGTGAATAGTGATTACATTAATTAGTGTCACATAAAGTAATCAGTTAATCAAAATTATGGTTAAATTGATGATTCAAAGTTAGTGTTTCTCATTATTATTGTTTTAGATTATTCCAACAATCAATCAAAGTTACAATTAAATTGATTGTTATGAAAATAATCATTTAATCAAAATTAGGGTTTGCAATTATTACTATCTATGATTATTCCAACCATTCAAGTAATTGAAATATGACTATTATGTTTTGTTAAGTACATAATGAGCTCTCTGCCCAATTTTAGCCATATAGGTTTTTATTTTTAGTTGAATTTTGTTCAGGAACACTGTAGTTATCTATTGTGATCAAAATCTAAAGCGAAACAAAAGTATATTTATTTAATATGCGGACACAGTACTGATTTTAATTTAATGGAAGGTTATATAAGAACCTCTGTTCATATGGGTTGTGTGGCCACTTACTCATTTTTATCTGTAATGTTTTAGCATAGAGGTTATTCTTGGGTAATGGGGAATCAACTTTATACCAGTTCTTCATATATGAGCTCAGAATACCTCATGTCTGTTTCTTGAGTTTCACAGTTTTTTGCATTAAGATCAATGCCATTATTGAATAGTTATCTACTACAGTTGCAAACAGTCTGTATTTAAAAGGATCCAGCAATCATTTCTTTTGTATGAAAAAGTACTCAGTATTTATTATTTTAATATTAAACATAACCATATGTATATTAAGGGCTAATCCTTCTTATTGTTTTGATCATTTTTGAATATGAAAATTTCTGATTTAAAGGATATGTTGAATCCACTGAGAGTACAACAGTTGTTCCAACAAATTATTGATGAGGTAAGTTTTTTTTTTAACTGTTTTAAGTTTACTCAAAAATATGTTTGTTTATAAGGTAAATATTGCTAGAGTATTCATTTATTGTAGGCGATCCTAGTCTGTGTAGATAATATCGTAATCACACTAACTCTTGCTATTCATTTGTGCTTATAAGGACAGTCTCATTAAGTTCTAATTATTCTGATAAATTTAAATAAAAGATGCCATCAATATAAGTAAAATGTCTTGTTGATTGTACTTTTTTATACTTCCACAAAATTTTTAAAATATTGGAATATCAGTATTAAAAATATTTGAGTAATAGCTCCTATAAAATATTTAGTATTTGATGAAACATTTTTCAGCTTTGGGTACTACTTTCTTTTATTAGCACTATTCAGACCACAAAGCATTTTTCAGGTGTTGAGTGGATATCAAATTCCAAAACATACTTACCTCCTACTCACTGTAAGGGTTTCTTTTCCTTTGCCCATCTAAGCATTGGTTTGATTTTTTTCTCGCTTGCTCCAGTGTTTTATTCCCCAATTGATTGCACTTGATCATATTTGTCTCATGACACTCTCCACCTACCTCAATGCACCCTCTATCCTGGTACTGTACATAAGCACCTCCTTCAGATAATACTGTCACTTTTTCTAGACTGACCCAATTTGCAGTCTCTAACACAGGTTCTTAGTGGGGTGGAAAAGTGTGACTAGAGGTATTATTGGAAATACATTTTCAATTTAAGAAAAATGCTAACTTCCAAAACATACTTACCTCTGCTCATGCTACAGCTAGAATTTCACATTGATAAGGTGGAGGGGCCAGTGAGGACATTATCCTTACAGAATACGTCTGCATAGATCATGGACATGCCAAAACAAATAGAAGATTAGCACACTAGTAGGGGAACTGCACACATCCAGAACAGGTATACTCTTCACCCGGATCCTAAATCATGCAATGTAGGTGGAATTTGATGTGAATCTAAATAACCATTGGCCAAGCCCCAACCAGGTAGCCAAGGTTCCACTGATTGGGGTTGGAATTATAGGGCCATGGCCCCTAAATCTCACATTGGTGGCTAGGGCATTTGGACCACAATATGTATGTTTGTGAGTGATCCCAACCTGTAGCTATACAGTAATGCATTCCAAACCACCAGAATCATGAGAGAAGGTAAGCAACCTCGAAGTGGACAAACCCTCTTCTCAACCTGAAGAAGTCCGAAAGGCAACACCCCAAACTTGGAATGATGGGATGCCATACTCTACCTGAGGAAACAGAACTCATATGGTCTGGAATGTGAACACTCATCCTCACTCCCCAACTGTGTGGGTAAGGTAAATTCCACTTGCCCTCGGAATTATGGGGAGGATGTGAAACAAACTGTGCTCAAGCAAGGACCCGTGATGGGACCACTCTGCATTTGGAATTACAAGAAGATTATGGACCCTCTTCCAGGAGCAATGTACTGAACCAATATTGATCAAAAAAGGACCATTACCCAACTGGATAGCCGAGCAACTGAGTTGGCTCCCACATAAGCTGGTGCTGCTCCTATTGACATCTTGGAAAAAGAACATCCAGGATCCTGGGTAGGAGGGCCCCCCAACTTTGCCTTCTTTCCCAAGAGTGGAGGAAAATCACTCAAACACTCTGGAGGAATAACCTCTGTCCACCACCCCAGTGACTGGAAACTGGGAGTGGCAAGGACTCCCTAACTCCACTAGTAGAATATGGGGGGATGCATGTTGGAAAGTCCTGAGGAACAATGTAAATAGTGCAATAGGTGAATCAAGTTCCCTAAGTTTTTAAAAGCAAACCCACCCCAATTTATGCAATCCACTGATTGTCAGGGATGGGCAGGATCCCTTTATGCTTTACTCATGATAGTCCATGAGTGGCGGTCCAGCATAGTACAATAATACCACCTGGTCTGCATCTAGATAATCTTATGGAACACCTCATTTTTACAGAGCTTGTTGCAATCTAGATACAGTATATTGTGTTCGTGGTTGCTATTTAAATAAAGTTGTATAGAGCAGACTAAAAATTATTTATGGCATTGTAGAGTATATGAAGTGATTTAGCTATAATATGTGGTTTCTCAAAATATTGATTACTCAGAGCTCCTTTATGGGTGAACAAATGATTCAAATGAAAAACTTAGAAGATTCAAAACAAATCACAAATGTGGGAATTTTGTTATGTAAATGTTCCATTCCATTCAGGTCATGGTATTTGAACAGGAGACATCTACTTGAGGTTCAGGAGTTCTGACCACTGAGGCAGTTTGAATATTACCAACAAACAGTAGCTTTTATATATATATAGATGAGTTCAGTCAGTCATATATATTTTAGTGGTCACTGAAAAATAATGTTAAGCAGTAAGGAAACATGCGAGGATACAAGACTTATTTGGTTTGTGATGTACAATGCTACCTGACTGTTGAAGCAGTGAAAAGATTTTTGTTTGCTGGAACTTATTATGAGCAAATGGAACTTGCTTCTTTGACAGTACTAATAAAATTTATTGTAATCTGTTGTGATAGATTTGTAATGATATACTTAATGGTTTTTGCTCAAATATAGAATGTTTAAATTTAATGCAAATCAGTAAATAAGATGAAATGTTTTAATATATAGTATATTGAACTATGTAAAATACTACTATTGTGGGCAATAACAGAGTCAAGGCATATTTTTTACCATTAACTGCAACATTAGTGGCTCACAGTGAAATGTTTACATTATTTACATTGAAGTAACTAAAAAAAGGTATTCTTTTTTTCTTTTAAGATAAAAACCTTTATTATTTCAGTAATATTTGTTTTGTATTCATTGATCATTTGTTTAAGTTTGTGTGATAAATATTTTAGGATATTCCCCTCCTGCTGATGGATCCAGAAAGTAGTCGTCCTGAGGATTTAATCCTGACTAAAATAGCTGCTCCTCCTCTCTGCATCAGGCCGTCTGTTGTGTCTGATCTGAAATCTGGAACGTAAGCTCATATACATATGTACATGAGTAGTATTCATTCCAGTTATCTTATACAAGTATTTGAAATCAAAATTGAAAATTTATTTTATTTTTTCTTATGAAAATGAGAACTTATTATTTTGTCAGTTGTAGTGATTAAAAACATACGAGTGGTTTGGAATATAAGATTGCATATATTTATTGAAACTTGTATAATCAGAACTGAATAGTGGCTCAGACATTTAACCCTCTCACTATGGGTAGGTCAAAGTGCACATATCACAACTTCTTAGTGAGTTAAATTCAAACTTTAATTAAAATATTTTATTATCAATGTATATGAATCAAATTGGCATCAAAACATAGTTAGTAAATCAAATTTTAATGTTATACAAGTTTTAATTTCTTAATTTTATAAGGAAATATTTAAAAGAAATGTCTATTTCCCCTAATATGAGAATCATGACATTTGTTATCTAGGTCTTCTCCCTTCTCTAATTTATATACCACCCCTCTCTGAAGTACAGAATTTAACATACATTACTCATTATAATGTAGATATTACTAAGGCAAAGTCTAATTTTAATAACCTTTAACCTTATTTGTTTATGTAGCCATGAAAGAAAATTAGACCCACTTGCCATGCCCACCATTCACATTCTCTCTTTCACAAATTGCCAATAGTTCTGACATTTTATGCTATATTATTCATAACTAATAGAAAGATGAAGTTTAATCTATTAAATGACATATTATATTACATTGTTTTCAGTACAGAGTATTGTCTATTTCATCTTCAGTTTCAAAGTTTCTCTTGTGATGTTTAGATCAAGAAGTTTTAGGAATTATTTTAAAGCTCTTATGCCATAGTAAAGAGCCAGTTAAATTATTATAGTTATAGGACATTGTTTGCTTTGTGTGTGTTAGTATAAAAAAAAAGCAGCCTTAAATTTCGTTGGCAACCAACAGCAAAAAGTCACAAAGGTAAGCACTATATTTTTTGGTTTTTTTGTGTACATTCTTTTTTATTATTATTAAAGCAACTAAAATGTAAAAATTAGAAACTTATTAGATTAGGTAAGACAATGAAAAATTAATATAAATTATTCACAAGGTATGCTCACAAGCAGTTCATGTGCTGTCATTTAATATGGTAACATGAGCTATGCATTTACCGAATGATTTACAACTTGTGTGGTGGGATTATTTGTTAAACATGGTTAAAAGGGCAATAAAACGATAAAATTAAGTATAAGCAAATGTATGCTTTTACAAGCTTTAAACTATTTAACATAAACAGCTGCAGTTTCCTGTTACAATATGCAGTCATTTTAGAAAGAAAAAAAAAATAATTTAGATTTATTTTGTACTCTTGTATGGTTGTTAAAGGGTTGGTCAAATTAACTGAGTCTTTATAGAGTTAGGGTAGAGAAAATAACAGATAAATTTTAAAGGTTCACTGAAAAAAGCTTATTATTTATTTAGGAGGTTTTAGAGGTTACTCAAATAAAATTTGAAGATTTTCAGATGAAAAAATTTTAACTTGAAAATCACTTTGTTCTAAATAAGTGCTCAAGAAGTGAATGATGTCTGAAATTATAGAAATTTCTGTGCTACATGAATCATCACCTGGGGTTCCAATTTGTTATTTGTCAACAACTTCAAAAATATCTTATTTTCAGTTTTAATTTGCATGAAATGTGCATTAGAATTTTAAAAGATGCTTTTGTCAAAAATCTGTAGATTCTACTGTATATGTTGAACAAGGATAACTCTGTTTTACTATACCCATTGCAACAAATTGTCAATACTCGAGCAGTGGTAGATGTGATTCAGTTATTTTAACTTCCAAAACTACACCATCAGTTCACAGTGTTTCATATTAATTACAGTAGATACACCAAGTCTTTGAACTTCTCATATTTCAGAAGTGATTTTTTTTTATTCTTGTATATTGGTCATCCTGAAGAATTAAATTCATTATTCAGAAAAGTTTTTTTATTGATTGTGCATAGTAAAACTTTTGTTTATTTTGCTCACAGTGTTTCACCAGGTTTTCCTGGAATAATCAAGTGAACCTGGTGAAATGTAGTGAACAAATAACTTGTATTCAGTTGTTTTTTAATTTATACTCAACTTCTTTTCATGTGTATGTTAAATATAATGCATTCAAAAGTTATTATTATCATATATGATGTTGATTTTTAATTAAGTTATTAAAGAAAATTTAATACTTATTGCTGATTAGTAAATATCTGTGAAATCTGAATGTTAAACTTATCAATGTTATTTTGAAATGTGTATTGTTAAATCTGTATTACTTGATTGTTGGTGAATCAACAGAAATGAAGATGACCTTACTATGAAATTAACAGAAATCATATTTCTGAATGATGTGATCCAGAAGCATCGAGCATCAGGAGCAAAGATGCAGATGATAATGGTGAGTTTGTGCAGAAAACTATTGCATTCTCACACCTAGTATACTGCAAAAATATATGACACAGTGATACATTATATTTTTGATTTTACATGAATTTAAAAGAGAGGAACTGCCTGATATTTGTTGTAATGTTTAATTTTGGTTTATCATGAAAGAGGAAGACTGATTAAGATAATGCTTGAGTTTTTATGATACCATTGTATCTGACTTCAGAAAAACTTTTGATAATATTAGTTATTCATTTGTAATGGTTGAAAAACTTGTTGGTTAGTTCTAGAAATATCAGTTAATTATTACGTTCAAAAACTTGTTTAAACCTAGTAATATTAGTTATTTATTTGTTATAGTGCAAAAACTTGTTGGTTAGTTCTACTAATATCAGATAATCATAAGGTAAGATCCAAAAACTTGTTGGTTAGTTCTACTAATATCAGATAATCATAAGGTAAGATCCAAAAACTTGTTGGTTAGTTCTATTAATATCAGATAATCATAAGTTAAGGTCCAAAACTTGTTGTTTAGTTCTACTAACATCAGATAATCATAAGGTAAGGTCCAAAAACTTATTGTTTAGTTCTACTAGTATCAGATAATCATAAGGTAAGGTCCAAAAACTTGTTGTTTAGTTCTAGTAGTGTTGGATAATTAGAAGTTAAGGTC